TTCCTTTTGAAATATTTTCTGTTTTTCATCGGAAAAGTAAAAATTCTAATATTTGGAGTTGAAACTTAACTACCTAAAATATTGTTTACTGTATAGGATAAGTTTTAATTACGAAAAGTTCCCTCAGTAATTTATTGTTTCACCAAAAATCTTCCAAACTTCCTTACAGAATTTGCTATTCAAGATTCAGCTGTTTATACCGTTACTCATTTTAGCTTCAACAGACTGAAAACCCACATTTCACAAGAACTGGAAAATATGTAGTGTAGTCAGAGCTTAAATTGTGCCGGCTCCGGTACTTTTCAGTTCATGGGATAAATGATAATTCTAGCCGCCGGAGCGCATCGGAGCCCTACATAAGAAGGCTCCGGCACTTCTTTTATGTAATTAACGGAACTACAATTTCAGTAGAAATTTAATCTCAAAAATTTTATTTTTAGCAGCAATAAAATTATATTAAAAATCGCTTATTAAATTTTAATTTACCTCTTTACATTTTATTGAATTATTTTAATAAATAATAATCAATTATTAATTAATTGATCAATGGTTAGATAATTAATAAATATAATTGCTAATATTAATTAAATAATTATTTATTAATTTGATAATAATTAACTATTTAATTTTTAAATGATAAATGATTTTAATAGTCATTTTATTTATTTATTTACTCTTGTTCCTCTTTACTAACGGTCTTCCATAGGGTTCCGGCACTTCTAATTTTAGAAATTAAGCCCTGAGTGTAGCGATATAGAAGAAATTCAAATTAAGAATATTTATTCTATAAAGCTGTACAAACTTGTCCCTAATGTTTGGAATCTAATTTGGCTGAAATTTAAATTAATTTTTTGCTAAAGCCTACTTTCGGTCCAATTGTTTCTGCAGTACTTGTTTCATTTAGAAATCTTAGTTTACTTGTGGCTTTTTTTTTTTTTTTTTTTTTTTTTTTTCAGATGAACTCGCATGAGCTTTTCCTGTAATATATGATTAATTTTAATAGATTAAAAAAAGAAATTGCATAAAATTATAAGTCGCTAGATTCTAAAACTTGTTTGTAATTTCTTGATGTAAAGCAGCAGCAACAAGAAACATAAACAAATGAACTATTCAAGCTATAACTGAAAGGAAGTGTAATACTTAATCAGCAGACTCTTTAAAATCAGCAGCTGCATTATGTAATTCTATATAAAAATTGAGACTTAATTTTAATTTAAATCTTAATTCTTTGAATTTTACTTTTTAGCAAAATAAAAAATAAAAATTTCCAAAAGTATTCAGATAGAAGATGTTAACTTTTTATATAAAAAATGAGTAAAAGATATTAAAAGAATATGTTTTGTTATTAATATTGTTTAGAATTTTATCTTTTAGGTTTCTATATTTATTTCACTTATGTATTGTTTCTAATTTATAAAAAATAATAACGAAATGAAACATGTAGTCATTTTCTGGATTGTCATCCTCATTTTTTATTTCAGAGAAGTAAATCCTAGATATTAATAGGTGGTGTGGTGTGTGTGACTATGGCAAAGCCTCGAGGGCTATGCGCCTGAAGGGAGGGATGCCTTCGTGTAGGACTTTCTAAGGGAAACTGGCTCGTATACTCATTACACATGGGGAAAACCACGAAAACGGCCATGCAGCCAGCCCCTTCGCGGGACCGAACTACCAGTGTTTAGCGACTTTACCGCTCGGCCGCTGGTGGGCAGATATTAATAGGACTGAATGCTGTATGTGTTTGTTTTGGTATCAAAAAAAGAAATATGTTTATATAATAATTTAAATATTACATTTCATTTAGCATATTCAGTTTAACCATTCTATGAATAAAAAAAATTAGAGTTATCAGTTTAGTTGTGGAAAAATATTATTCATACACAGATAAATGCACTCATAAAAACATTATGCAGTTTATCTTAACGTCATTTGACTGTCATCGTACTTTCTGTGAACACATGGAAAAAGGGTGGATGTTTATTTAATATGATGACCTGTGTACAATATCCCCACAGACATAATGATTACATTCGTAGATACTAGCAAAATATAATTCTGCAGGTAAATTTATATAATTAAATGCAAAAGTCAAAATTGGTACTAAATTTTAAACACTACATTCAACAAAATCTTAGTAAATATGGATCTTAATTTTATAAATGAAATTTTGTATGAAATATATCATGGTGCACTGTATAGTAATGGAATGCAAATTTTAAAACTATAATAAATAAAATATTTGCTTAAGTTATATTATTCATTCATAATACAAATCATAACAAATTATAAGTACAGATAGAAAATGAAATTTTATATTTTACAAGAATTTTAGCATATTTGTTTTTTAAACGTTTCTATATTCTTAAATCACACATTTCCTAAATTTTGATTGTATTTAAATGCATGCTGTGTATTACTCTGTTTTCAAATAATATGAAAGAAAAAAGCCTTAATAATTAGAAAATTAATATTGCTGAAGGAACTGCTTTACTATCTTTGCAAAATTACTGTAACTAAATTATCCAGAACTGATAGCCTTAAGTATAATAATACAACTTAATTTGCTCGCCAAATGTATTGTGGACTTCTAATATGTTGCTTTCTGTACTCTGCGGTGTTGTTAGTCCTTCTTATTGCTTACATGTACCCCGTGTATTAATGATATTGTATTTCTGGCATGTACCATATTAACAGTACAATAGGCTCAAATTCTAAGTAACTGACAAGGCCCATCAGCTGAACACTGGTGGTTTGACTTCAATTACTGGAGAAAAGGCTGGTTGCATAGCCATTTTTCCATGTGTAAAACGAGTTAATTAATGCATTGAGCTACATACACATAATTTAAAACTATTTAAGCATATTTATATGCATCTGTCACAATTCACAACAATATTCAAAACCGTTGGCATTTAAATACACCTAATAAAATGCATAGAAGTTTCTATATATATTAATGAATAAATTAATTTAAGTAACCCGAAAATTCAAAATAACTTGCATCAAATCAAAAAACACCATAAGTTTCTATAAGTTTCTATACCTATGAAATAATACATTTTGCTGATTATTTTTTTTTGCCTGCATTATTGGTGCATAATGCAATACGCAGTGCGTACCAACCATTATACTACATAAATTTAATGATATTTGAGAAAAAAAAAAAAAAAAAAAAAAAAAAAGAACCGAATGAGTTTCTACAGTCGCGCAAGCTTACATTCAGGGCCCTAGTCTGGACACAGTCGAGATAGAAGAACGAGTCGTTTTTTGCGATCGACTCGACAGAGAGCGAGTCTGGTGTCATCGTCTCGATCATTACAGAGATCGACGCGTCGGAAATTTTTCCGTCAGCTGGGCAGCTGCCGTTTAAGTTTCTGACTGTCGTTTTAGAGCGAGGACGGCGGAGGTTACGGATTGTTTTTGAAAGTGTACGTAATAGATATTTTAATTTCTTAAGATTTGCGAAAAACTCGAGTATTTCGCTATAGAAATAACGCATTTGATGCTGACGATTCTACATTATTTATTTATTCTACATTACCAATGCTTTAATTAAATTTTAGTGAAAATAATATATTTGGTGTTTTCATATTTCGCATATAAAAAAGGGGTGCATACTTTTAATTTAAAATTGTAATTTTTCAACTAATGTATATATCAATGTACTTAATTTCATGCTTAGATGAGTAATTTATAAAATATTGAAATTTTATGTTTTAAATTATAATTTATTGCCTCTCTAACTTTTATTTTGAATTTGTAGTGTATAAAAATGTAATACATTAGACATGCATTAAATAATATGCAGTATATAATTCAAACTATGCACATCCTAAATTCAACATTTACATTAAATTGCTTTGAGTTAAAAAATTTATTTAAGTATTTTTAACTGTACCTATATCTTGTCAATTTCCAATAGTTTCTAGAATCTCCTGTATAAAACAAGTTAAATTTCTGTATAATTTTCACTATTTACTCGAACTCGATTTTTTTTTCTACCGCCATCCTCAGTAATAAGCACGCTTTTTGACAACAAACTACCCCCTTTCCCTGAGCCTGAAGCAATGTAGAGGTGAGATAGACTGGTTGCTAAGCAATAAACGTCACTTCCGCACGGAATTTCCACTTCACTTTCCGCCGACGGAATTTGAAGGGGCCAGACTAAGGCTCCTATATATTAGAGGAGCCTTAGGCCAGACTCGCTCTCCCTTCTGCTGTCGAGTGGAAAGAGAATCCCGCCTGGTTTTCTGATATCGATCTCGACCGGTGTTCAGACTAGACCCTTCAGCTTAAATCAATGCAAGAATCTATGTTAATCTGAGGAGAGAAAACTTCAGTTACGTCACAGCCAATAGACAGCGAGAACGCATTTTCATTTGTTTACCCCAAGTGAGCTAACCTGTTCTTTCTACGGACCTTGTGTGCGATTAGCCACTGCGAGCCTTAGTCATCTTCAGTGCCATTCCTGTGGTTTTTAATGGACATTACAATGAAAGGTCTTCTAGTGCTTTTATGCTACAATTTCTGTTATACATTCTGTTATAAAAGAGGGTATTTCGGTATTTATACCAAAGTCTATAACCCCGGTGGTCTACCACGTTTCAAAATTTCTTTTATCTTTTTCTTAAAAACATTTAGATGACGTCTCTTTATATTTCTGTCTTCTACTACATATTCTGAATATTACAAATAAATCACATTTCTTTTGAAAACAAATATTTCCGGTGATATATTTTATAAATTGACGGACTTATTTTTTGGATAGTTAAATAGATTTTAAAATTACAATGAGTAAGTGTCCTATTTTTTTAAGATGAATGTAAATTAAAGTAAAGGAGAAAAGATTGCTAACAGTGCATGAGGCATTTTTTAAATTTATTCTTAATTTTTTAACTTGGAAATGCTAGCGTAAGATTGGGTTCAGATAATGATGTCTTATCTACACTACCATGTTTACCACTTCGATGCGTTTGATGCCATAAATGGCAACATGCCTCGAAACTCTTGTATTGCCGGTAAACCGGTAAATGAGTGTTGCGTCACTGTATGGTGGGGTTTTTTGATTTTCAATAAAAATCGTTCCCGTACTATTGATTTCATGCGCCGAAAAATGAATTTTTAAGTTTGTTTTAAATATTCCAATGTTTAATGTAGTGCTAGATATTTAAAGGGCATTTATCTTTTTAGAACAAATGATCGTTTCGGAAGAAACTGAAACAACCTTGTGATGAGCAATATGTATTTTAATATCACTTTTTTACAAGAGTCTGCTTCATTATATCCTGTTAACTCAGAAGGACTATTGGTGTCTACTCTGTTTGTCGTTTATTTATTTTATTATATTCTACGTGTTGCAAAAGTAAGTTAATCATAATTTAATTTCATAAATCTGCATGCCAGTTTACCTCATTTCAAAAAATTATTATTAAAATTTTCTGGTAAAACAGCATCGTATTTACGTTGTTATATTGTTATAGGTGTTAGTTTATTTTAATCTCTAAAAAGTGCATTTTAAAATTTAATAATCTTTCTTGGAAGTCCAGAAAGGCACGCATTCAATTGTATGTGGTTGTTAACATAAGGCATATTATTTCCGTATTTTAATGTAACCATATTTCACTTAAAACCGCGCTGATGCATAAAGATGCAGGGTAGTTCAAAAGGAATCAAATTACTTTGCATGGTGACATAAGGTAACCGTATATGATATATGATAGAAAATTGAGAGGACATATCTCAGAGTTGGTTATGTGAAGCCAAGAGGCATTACCGATCTTAGACTGTCGGCCGCTCACGTGCAAATTAAAACTGGCCACCCTTTTTTACAGAAATGTAATATGTTTGATAATCATTTCAACACCCTTAAATTTGGCTGTCCCCACTAGGATTGGCCCTGCCAAGCGGTATCCATTTTCATTCTATCTTTTTCATCACTGGAATGGCTATGACCAGAGCTTAAATTGCACTGGAACCCGGCTCCAGTACTTCTCAGTTTCTGAGATAAATTGTATTCTTATCCAGAGTGCACCGGAACTCTAAATAAGAGGGCTTCAGCATTTCTTTTGTGTAACTGAACCGCAGTTTCAGCAGAAAATTATCCTGATCTCAAAAACTTCTGAATGCATTCTTGATTTGCCCTGGGAAATAAACCTTCTGATGGAAGTCGAGACTTATAAGGAAAGAAAAGTCCCTACCCATATGTGAAAGATTTATTATCCAATGAATTTATAACAGAGCATAAATTTTCTGTTCCTGAATGTACTAGAAATTATTTCTCTGGTAATGCACGTTCGATGCTAACAACATCCCTTGGAAAAGAGTTCCTGCAGACTGTTTGGAACGATGTAACCAATCACAGGGGGATAAAAACTGTCACTTATACAGAACTTTTATATTTATCCTCACCTAATTGATATACCCTTGTCTACAGGGAATTTTTTTTTTTTTCTCCTGGCACATTCTGCTTGATAGCTGGAATTATAACGGCAGGAGACTGTGGTCAACATGTGGTGGCCTCTTCTGTTTTTCATCCTATACATCTTCATTAAAATTTCCTTCCCTATTCACATACTGTTTCTAGATTCCCATTAAGGAGGCTCTTAAGTGTTTTACCTTTTTTCATGCGTATGCTGGGAAAATAATTCTTTGTTTCTATCATTCTTTAACACAGTACATTATACAGGGCTTAAATTCAGCCAGGGCTGAATTTCTTAGCTTTCAACTGAAATTACAGTTTCAGTCGGAGCACCAAATAAGATAAAGTAGGGTATTTTTTTATTATTAATCTATTTATAATAAATTGAGGCTGATCTTTAGAATATGGTAACTGGTAGTTTGGTGACATTTTGGAGGCAATAAAGGTTACTACCTGGTAATAATGTGAGCAGTACTCAGTTCCGATTACGCATTATTTTGTGTGAGGGAAATGAGAGAGCATGGGATATGTCATGTGATATTAATGGACGAATTACGGTTCTTTAATCGGAAAAGGGGGGGGGAAATTTGGAAAAAATATCTGTGCAGTACTGTATATTATTTTGTATTAAGCTTCATTGTGTGTTGTGTGAAGTAGGGTTGAATAATTTTGGGATTGTATGGCGCTGTCTAAAGTGAATTATAGATTTTTAAGATTCTAGATTCCACCATGTAAGCAAAATTCTGAAGAAGATTAGGTAAGTTAGTATTTTTAATTATTTGAGGATATTATTTTTATGCATTGTTCTAAATGTAAGGTGGAAGTAGAGTAATTTGGTATTATTGGGAAAATTGTTATTAGCAATGATTTAGTTTAAAGTAATTAGGATTGTAAGCTAATTTTTATTAATTTAATGTATGTGCTTATTTATATTTTAAGTAGTGTTTTTGAATTTAATTATATTTTAATTAAATGATAGTTATTTTGTGAATTTTATGTTTGTAGGAATTTGGTATACGTTTTAGTTGAAGTAAACGTGCATGGAAATAATTTAAATATTTGACACTAAGTATTTGTAATGTTTGCGGTATGAATTCGTTGGTGACGTTTATAATATAATAGATAATTTAGAGGTAAAAGTTTTTGGATATTTTATTTATTTTATATGTGGAAATGTTCATATTTGGAAAGGGTATATACTTTTTCGCGATCAGGTAATTTCATATATGTTCTTTTTACCGGGTTTAAAGATTCAGAAAATTGTCATGTATTTTCGTGAAATTTTTCTAATTTATGAGAAAAAAGCAGTGTACATGGATATAGTGAAGAGTGTGCGCAATGCCATTTTTTTGTGCAATTCTGGGATGTTTTTTTAAGTAAAAATAAGTCGGACGTGTACATGGTTTATGTGTATGTGTTATTTTGAGAAACGCGTAAGGAGTATGGTATTGTGCACTTTTTCCCAATTTTGCAGTGAATATTTGTCATGATTAAGCAGTTTTGTTAGATAAAATTTCTAGCATAAGTGTAATTCGGCTAGTAGATTGTTGGAAGAAGTGTTGAGTAGATAAAAAGAAAAGAAACATGTGGTTGCTCTTTACATTACGGTAACTTGGCGAAAATTTGGCGACCAACTCCCCTACAGCAACCCTCTATTTTTTTTCCCCGCCGCCATTTTGTCTTCACGAAGTAAAGACATGTTTCTTTTCTTCTTCACAAAATAACTATCCTTTCATTAAAATATAATTAAATTCAAAAACACCACTTAAAATATACATGAGCACATACATTCAATTAATATAAATTACCTTACAAACCTAATTACTTTAAACTAAATCATTGCTAATAACAATTTTCCCAATAATACCAAATTCCTTTCCACCTTACATTTCCAACAATGCATAAAAATAATTAAAAATACTAACTTACCTAATCTCCTTCAGAATCTTCATTACGTGGCGGGTACACTTTTCTTCATTCTCTTTCAGAATCTTTAAAATCATACTTATCTTTCAAAGCAAGATACCAGGTAAAATGAATAACATAATAAAACATGTTTATTTCTTTCTCACACAACCTTAAAAAACATTTCTTACTATCCTTTTCAATACCACTAAATACCCATTTCGAATTCACTTTACTTACGGCCATGGGATCCAAAAATTCACAAACACTATTTCACACAACACAGAATAAAGCCAAATACAAAATTTCCAGATTTTTTCCCGATTTCCCCCCTTTTCCGATTAAAGAACCGTAATTCGTCCATTAATATCACATGACATATCCCATGATCTCTCATTTCCCCCACACAAAATAATGCGTAATCGGAACTCAGTACTGCTCACATTATTACCAAAGTCCCAGGTAGTAACCTTTATCGCCTCCAAAATGTCGCCAAACTACCAGTTACCGTAATGTAAAGATCAACCAAACATGTCTTTACTTCGTGAAGACAAAATGGCGGTAGGAAAAAAAAAATAGAGGGTTGCTGTAGGAGAGTTGGTCACCAAATTTTCGCCAAAAAATCGCCAAGTTACCATAATCTAAAGATCAACCTAAATTGAATAATTTATTAAAATTTTATTTATGGATTTACATTTTACTGAATTTTAATTGTAATTATTGGTATTATTCCGTTTTGAAGACTGTAAAATCTGTGGCGAAAATGTATGTGCAAAAGCACCAAATCTAGCAAACGCGGCCATTTAAACAGCGTGCCAAATCTAGCGTGCACGCTGATTTCAGATTGCGTAAGTTTATATAATTCTATATTTCTTAAGACGCCATTGAAATACTAGTTTAATTTTTAAATCTTTTTTTGATTTTAAATCCTTTTTTAATATCCTATAGATTTAACAATTTGGGAATTGCCCATGATGAAAAGTCGGCAATAGAATTTTGGGTAAAGTGCAGAATCACCCACTGCTTGACGCATTTTTAAGAATTGCACATACTTGGCATCCATGTGCAGATCGACCTATTTTCGCTTAAAAAAAAATCCCAGAATTGCACAAAAATGGCACTGTGCACACCCTTAGCTTTATCTATGTACATATCGACCTATTTTCACTTAAAAAGTAAAAAAAAAAATTGAAAAAAATCCAATTGTTTTACCCTTGTAAAATGCGGCAAACAAATAAGTGAGCGATTCTGCACTTTACCGAGAATATTTTCAAAGGAAAGGCATCATTCATTATAGAAAATTACGTTTGAACAACCAACGAGATGAAATTATGCTTTAGCGATAAGTCGGTAGCGAAATAGCGATGCAGGCATCCTTTCAGTTATGTTTATCAATTTTTATATAAATTATAATAATGGTTTGAAATAGTTATTTACTCTTATGCTTCCATTCAGTCATGTTTAGCCTTGTTCATATAAATTATAATAATAAAAAAGTATATGAAATTAACCTTTCATCTAGATTAAATATCAATCTTACATAGTTATTTACTATTATATGGTCAAAAGTTGTTAATCCGGACTCGTCAGGACTTCGGCGATTCCGGATTATCGATTTTTCCGGATTATAGATCATCAGTTTAAATCTCGTAAGATGGCATGCAGAAATTCTAAAATTAAAAATATGAAACCGTAATTTATGAAATAAAGAACAATTATGATCTAAAGAGTATCAAAATGTACAAAAAAAAAAAAAGCTTAATATTTATTTGTTTACTTTATTAAACATTTCTTTCAATGTAAGTTGTTTAAGTTGCTTCATTTTATGTGATAATACTTTCTCTTTAATTCTATAAACAGACATAATTTCTTGTTCAGTTACAAAGTTCCGCTGTTCAAGTCCCGTTAATTGCTGTGCCGAGAATACCGACTAACTTGTCAATCGAAATTTTTCGTTTTCACTAACCTCTCTGTCACATTCTTCATGTCTTTATCCATTTTTTGCAGCAATTCCACTTTTTATTTGTTGGACATCGAAA